AAGAGCTGGCCCCAGGATCAGCTGAGGACTGAGTCAGCTGACTTTGGAAAGCAGCATGAGAACATGGTGCCTTCCCTGTCTCTGGACACTTGAGTTGGCAGAGAATGGCCCAGGAAAGTGGCTTCAGGATCCATGTCTGTGTTCTCCATTGTGAAGGACAAGGGGTCACTTACGGGCTCTTCTTTCTCAGCTTACTCCCAAATGGGACCTTCCCAGAGCCGTGGGTTTCTGGTTCTCAGAAGTGGTTTGTAGAGTTACACCAAACCTTTCACCCCACCATCCTTGTGCACTCCAATTCCAGAGAATGCAGGTGTCCCAATCTAGTCTCTAGGGTTTTTCTAGTACTATATCCTTGCATGTTGTCAGATGTGCATGCACCCAAATATATCCCCGTTGCCTGTTTTCCTTAAGGGCTGGTATTATGGGTTGTTAGTGCACAAACATTAGAGATGAGACAATCAGAGGAAGTGAGGAAAAACTTCATTCTGCCAAGAAACATAGGCAATTGTAAACATGCAGATGCATATATGTACACACATCTGTGAGCATACCCAGACACACTCAGATCTACACAAATGCACAGGAGCCAAACCTGCCTCTACCCATGTTTAGTTTGTATCTTATCCAAATTTGGGAGGGACCTCATCTTTTACATGAAGATGAAGGACCATGGCCACTGTGAGAGGACAAGGTAATGAAAGTGGAAGCATTCCCATTAGAATTGGGGCCCTCCTCCACACTCCCCAGAGAGAGCTCCCTGCCCATTGAGGATGGACAAGCCTGTCATCCAGTCAACAGGGCCTCACCAGACACTGAATCTGAGCGTGCTTGATGTTGAACCTGCAGCCTCTGTAACTGTGAGACATCAATGTCTGTCGCTAATAAGCCACCCCTTGATTGAACGTTGTTAGATCAAGCAGAAGGACATGGAAAATGTTCCTAGTAAGAGCTCAGAGTCATGATGATTGAGAAGGCTCAAATGAAAGAGCCTGTATGACATAACCCCTTTGTGATTTTCATACAACTGTCATAATAAGTAACATGCTACTAAACCTCATAAAGGATCAGAACCCATGAACATCTGTGGAGATGGTTTTATTTTTTACATTGGTTTTAGATGATCTCTACTGTGTTTCCCAGGCTTGCCACAAACTCCAGACTCCAGGCGATTCTCCTGTCTCTGACTCCTGAGTAACAAGGACACTGGGTATAGGCAGCCATGACTGGCCTGAGCCATGTTAATTTTTGCACTTCCATTTCAATAGGGATTTAAAAATAGGGAGGAAAATGCAGAATATAGGAGATTTCGGTACAATGGCATTATTGTGTGTGACAACACAGGATGCAAACATGACTATACATTTGTCCAGACCTCTAGCAGAAACACAACACCCATCTCTACACAAACACAAAAGAAACAATATACAAAACCACAAAAAAATACAACACCAATGGAGTATGAAAAAATTGAAGTAGGGAAGGATAATTCGAAGTTCAAATAGAAGCTTGCATCCTAATTCTCAGTTCCCATTGAACAAGCTCTACAACATCTGTGAGCCAAAATAAACCTTTTTTTTTCTCAAAGATGATCATCTTGTGTATTTGTTGCAGTACTGGAAAACGGACTGAAGTTCATGTTAGACGCTGGTGGATAGGAAGAGCGTTCCACAGTGAGTGCAAACCTCTTACCTAATGTAAGGTTTTTCCACCAGGACATAGACCGGTTGACAACCTTATACAACAATATAAGGTTCTCTAGACTTCTGTGCATGTCCATCTGGTAGCTCTTAACAATTGAGTCTAAAATCCATGCCCAAATAAGCTCAATATTGGAGCAGTGGCTTTGTGCAGCTGAATTTCAGCCTTTTTTTTTTTTCTAGTCACAAGATTCAGCTTCTCCAAGTGTTAGGTCCTTTTGTTTTGTAAGGTACTGGCAGTAAGGCTTGAAGTGAGGACTACTTACACTTGCTTCATTGGCTTGCTCAGGCTGGTGGTTAGAGATTGAGTTACCCCTTCACTAGTAGATTTTTTTCATGTGACTTGGAAATAGAAGTGTCACAAATTGGTTTATCCAGCCTCATTTTTCAAATCTCAGCCTCCTGAGTCACTGGGTTGAGCCACCAGTTCTCTGCTGCTTTGAGGGCTCTTGGTCAGTCTTCGTGCTCAGCAGGTGCAAAGAGTTGTAGTGCTTCAAGACTTTTGAGGACACCAACCCAACAGTCCCTCTCTACCGCATCAACCACTTCTGTGCCTTGCAGGTTCCAATCCTGCATGGGTGGCCTGTGTAGGTGGATAGGGAATGGCGATGTTCTCAAGTCAAGATTCTCTGTCCTCTGGCTCACCTTGCCTCAGCTCTCAAAGGTTTTTAAACTTGTCCGTTCATCACTCAGCATCTCTCTTCTCGCTCTCCTCTCTCTCCTCGCTCTCATCGCTCTTCTCACTCTCCTCTCTCTTCTCGCTCTCCTCTCTCTTCTCACTCTCATCGCTCTTCTCGCTCTCCTCTCTCTTCTCGCTCTCCTCGCTCTTCTCGCTCTCCACAGGGACGACTTTGTTCCGGCACTCTGTCTTTCCCAAAGGCAAGCAACAACAGAGCCCTTGGAACCACCTCAGGCACCTCCTCAGTCTCTTCCACACCTTTCTGCTCTTCACCCTGACATAACTATGTCCCGCGGGGGGTGAGTCCTGGGACTCTGCTGGACCTTCGTGGGGCCCGTTGTCCCCTGTCTCCCCCAGGGCGTTGGAGGCTGGGGATGGGCTGGGAGGGGAGGAGGCTGGGGACGTGTGGAGGACTTCGGTGCTGCCCTTCTGGTCTTCCTTGAGGGCGAAGGAGCGCAGGGCACACACACTGGGTCTGGATGTGGTGCTTTTGGACAAAGACCTGACGCGGGACTGGCACGGCACCATGGTAGAATCCAGGGTCTTCGGGTGGTCGCTCTGGTCCCCGGACTCTGACTTCTTTTGCTCCAGCATCAGGTAGACGCCCATGAGCGCATTGTAGCTCTTGGCACTCAAGGCCTCTTTCACCTGCTGTGGGTCGTAGCCCATACCAGCCATGGCTTCCAAAATGGAGAGGTCTGGGCGCGGGGGGTGGCTCTCCGGAGCTGGGGGCTCCTGCACCCCCTGCTGGAGCCAGGGGTGCTCCAACACGTGCTGCAGCGAGGGCCTGCGCTTGGGGTCCACGGCCACCATGCTGGTGACCAAATCCCGGAAGTCACCGGAGACGTGGGCGGGGAAGCCTAACTCAGCCTTCATCACCGCCCTCTCCATCTGGATGGCCGTGTCTCCCCGAAACGGGAATCGCCCCACCACGGAGGCGTACAGCAACACGCCCAGGCTCCAGACGTCAGCCTTGGTGCCATCGTAGGCCTTGAGGAACAGGAGTTCCGGGGCGCAGAACGGTAAGGTGCCCCCGGCTGCCAGGACTTTCTGGCTGGCCCCGACCCTGGTGCCCAACCCGAAATCGCACACCTTGGCGTTGCCGTCGGCGTCCAGGAGGATGTTCTGCAATTTCAGGTCGCCATGGATGATGCCCTGCCGGTGGCAGTACTGCACGGCCCATACCACCTGGCGGAAGACATACCTGGCCTCCTCCTCCCACAGACACCCGACGGTCTTGACCAAGTCCAGAAGATCGCCGCCCTCTGCGTTCTCCATGACGAGGTACACCGTGCGTGGGGTCTCTATGATTTCATACAACTTGACCACATTGGGGTGGTCCACCGAGCTCAGGAGGTCCACCTCGGTGCTGATGAGCTCCTTGTTCACGGTCTTGGGGATGACTTTGATGGCCACGAAGGTGTGGGTGAGGAGGTGCTGAGCCAGCTTCACCTGGGCGAAGCCGCCCTCCCCGATGTCGCTCAGGACCCGGTACTGAGCGCTGAGCAGCTCCTGCTCTGGAGCCTGGGAGGCCAGCCCCGCCGGCTCCTCCTCACTGGCGGGAAGCAGCATGGCGCTAACCATGCTGCCCAAGAGGGCAAGGGGGGAAAGGGAAAGACAAACCCAAGTGGAAACACTAGGGAAGCAAATACAACAAACAGCAAAATGGAAAGGGAAAAAGCAGCTAATCTACGAAAGGCAATACTGGGGAAGCAAACCACAAATACCACACAGCGCGCAGAGCAGCTAGCTGTGAGTCCAGCAGGTCACCGCCAACAGCTTCCTGCTAGGTGGACTCAAATGCTGTCCAGGCCGCTTCCTTATGTGCGCTGGGCCCTCACTCCGTCACAGTGGCCCCTGTGAGGTCAGAGCAGGGAGAGGCCCAGGCATGGCTGGTGGACCCCACAGGCTCCTTCCACTTAAACACCCATTCGGAATGGAAAAGACGACACGAGTTTAGTTTAGTAGATCGTTTACTGAGATTCATCGTTAGTTATCTAGAACTTAAAATCCGATCCTGACACCAGAGGCTCAGGTCTCTTGATCCATGTTCCTTGGGAAGTTGACATTGGGAGGATGGCAATTCAATGTCAGCCCAGGCAGTGGGTGTGAGACTCCCTATCAAGCGAAGGAGTTTGGTGTGTGGTGCACACCTGTCATCCCCTGATGATGGAGGCCAAATATAGGGACATCAGGCCCAGGTGCATGGCTGGAACAAAATCAAGTCCATTTTTGAAATCTAACTAGCATATGAGAAGCTGGAGGTGTGTCTCAGTGGTAGCACACCTTCCTAACAAGTACATGGCACTGGTGCCAATCACGTATCATCCTCCATTCAAATTGCTAGACTGCTTCAATCACTTTTTGTCTATTTTTTTAAATCTCTACAATCTTTTGTTTGTTGTGTGCAGGTACTTGAGCATGAACTCAGGACCTACACACTACTCCTGAGTTCTTTTCTTTTCTCTCCCTCTTTCCTTTCTTTCTTTCTTCCTTCCTTCCTTTCTTTCCTTCTTTCTTTCTTTCTTTCCTTTTTTTGGTTGATCATGGGGCTTAAACTCTGGGCCTGGACACTGTCCCTCAGTTCTTCAGCTCAAGGTTAGTGCTCTACCACTTGAGTCACAACACCATTTCTGCCTTTTTCTGCTTAGGTGGTGCCGAGGAATCGAGCCCAGGACTTCAGGCATGCAAGGCAAGCACTCTACCATTCCCAGCCCTCTGAGCTGTTTTCTTAAGGTCAATACTTTACCTTGTGAGCCACAACCTCATGCCCAGGTTTTGGGTGCCTAAGATAAGACTCTCACAGCCTGTCCTGTCAAACTGTGATCCTCAGATCTCAATCTCCTGAGTAGCTAGGATTACAGAATAAGCCATAGGCACCTACTGATATCACCTGGTCTTTAAAAATACAAGAGAGCAGGGTAGCAGTGGCTCATGCTTGTAGTCTTAGGTACTCAGGAGACTGAGATCTAAGGACTGTGGTTCAAAGCCAGCCCAGACAGTAAAAGACCATGGGACTCATCTCTAATTAACCTCTAATTAACCACAAAAAGGTAGAAGTAGAACTATGGCTCAAGTGTTAGGAGGCTACCCTTGAGCAAAATAAGCTCAGAGAGTACTGAGACCCTGAGTTCCAGCCCTAGGAACTGTGTGCCTGTGCATTTCTGCGCATGTGTGTGTGCATGTGTGCACACATCACATGGTGTCGACTTGCAGCAGCCTGGGGAATTGAATCTTGTTTCCCTTCTTCAGGTACGCTCATGTATAATGCTCTGATAAGAACGTATATCAAGGTACATCATTAACATAAATCTATGTAATGGCTGAATGATGCTCTTTATAATCTCTCAAAAAGATGGTCATTGGGTGTCTCATCAAAAACCAGGAAGGCCAGAAATAAGAAATTGAACATATTCAGCATTGGATCAAAATGAATAAAAAGCTAACCAATCACAACTTCTGTCAATCACCAGTAGAGTACCCACTAAGTTTGAATCTGTCATTGAAAACTGAGGGTGTAAGCGGGCCTACATATTGGTTAGGTGGCCCTTGTGCCACCTCCTGTCTTCTTCACACTTTTCGGTCTTTCCCTTTGCCCCTCTCTGCCTAGGTGAGGCTTCCTCCCTCATGGACAGGATGTGGCATTGGCGAAGTGGAGTCCTCACTATTTAGCTTGAGGTAAGTGTTTGACTGAATTGGGGTAAAAGGCTTGGTGACAGGCCTGCCGCTCTTGCCTGGTGGGTTAAATTCTTGAAAAGTCACTCTGGTGGCTCGGAATCCAGATGTTCCCAAAGCCCCCACAAGGTAAGAGCCCATAGTCGGCCATTGTGAGGCAGCAGACACTAAGGAAAAGAGAGTGGAAGACCACAGGGGGTCTTCTGAGAGGACCTGGTCTAGCATGAGTGCCCAGTCGCTTGGTGTCTTGCCTTGTTGCTAGGCTCTGTTTGGCCATTCCTTCTAGCTGCCCAGGCCTTGAGATGATGCCACCGGATATCCTAACTCACTCCTAACCAAGCAGGACTTGGACACTTCTCTCAACATGCAGTCTGACATCTAGCATCTTTGGTGACCAGGATAAATGTGTTCATCTCCCCTTGGGTTTCTCAGGACAATCCCAGGCAAGTCCTTGGTTATCTTGGATTTTAATTCAGTTCATTCCATTTGTCATAAAGAGCTCTGTCAACTGGGCACCAGTGGCTCCTGCCTATAATTCTAGCTATTCAGGAGGTTGAAATCTGAGGATCATGGTCCAAGCCAGCCCAAACAGGAAAGTCCATGAGACTCTTATCTCCAGTTAACCACCAGAAAACCAGAAGTGGCACTGTAGTCAAGTGGTAGACTGCTAGCCTTGAGCAAAGGAGTTCAGGAACAGCACTCCTGCTGTCTGACGCAGCTAATGGGCCCCTCTTTTGTATTTTTTTTCAACTATTTTCCTCTAATTCTGTACCCTCCTCCTAGCTTCCCTCAGATGTGCACATGTATGTACCATATATGGGGGTCAAGAACATAGTTATCTAGAAACTATATGACAAATAAAGAAGATGTCCTTTGTTCCTGACTCTTCTTGAGTCCTGTTGACTTTGTCATATCTCATTGAATTTAACATCCACATAGCAGGGAGAACATGTACTGATGCCTCTCTGGTCTTGGCTTATTTCACTCAACCTGATTTGTTCTAGTTCCACCCATTTCCCTGCAAATGCCATTATTGTGTCATTTCTAATGGTTGTGTAACATTCCATTGTATATAGGTACCACAATTTTTGGATCCATTCATCTGTGGTGGGGCATATGGGTTGTTTTCATATTCTGGATATTGTCAACAGTGCAGCTGTGAACACAGTGGTACTTATGTCCTTGTCATATCCTGGTTCCTGTTGCTCAGGGTAGATGCCTAGTAATGATATGGCTGAGTCACAGAGAAGATCCATGTTTAGTTTTCTGAGGAACCTCCAGCCTGCTTTCCAGAGAGGTTGTATTAGTTTACATTCCCACCAGCAGTGCAGTACAGCTCCTCTTTCTCTGCATTCCTGCCAGCATTTGTCATATGAATTTAGGATATAGGCCATTCTGACTGGGGTAAGTTGGTATTTGAGGGTTGTTTTAATTTGCATTTCCTTTATGTCCAGGGATGATGAACATTTCTTCATGTGTTTCTTTGCCATTTTTCCCTCTTCTTCTGGGAAGTCTCTCTTTAGCTCCCTTACCCACTTAGTGATTGGTTTTTTAGATTTGAGAGGGATTAGTTTCTGGACCTCTTTGTACATAATAGGCATTAGGCCTTTGTCTGGTATATCTTTTCCAATTGGTTGGCTGTCTTTCTAGTTTGCTAGCTTATCTTTCGCTATGCAGAAACATTTTACTTTAAGGTAGTCCCATTTGTGGAGTCTCTTTCCGATCTTTTGTGCCTCTGGGACTCTGTTCAGGAAGTTCCTGCCTGTGCCTAGTGTCTCTCTGACTCTGTCCTGCAGTAGTTTCAGAGTTTCAGCCTTGCTATTGAGGTCTTTAATCCATTTTGAGTGGATGTTAGTGCATCAAGACAGGCTGGGATCCACTTTTAGTTTTCTGAATGTGGCTGCCCAGTTTTCCCAGCACCAATAGTTAAAGAGGCTATGTTTTTTCCACTGTATGTCTTTGTCTCCTTTGTCGAATATCAACTGACTGTATGTATGTTAACCTCTCTCAAGTTAAATCAGACTTTCTGTCATATAATCTGTAAATGTAAATATTTACTAATCAGAAAGAATTTAATTGGGTTTGTCTATTTTAGAAAACTTCAGAAAAAAAGAACTTTGCTCTGACCTCAGGTGAAGGTTTGACTCAAAATGACAAGGAAGGCTGGGAATGTGGCTTAGTCATAGAGCACTTGCCTAGAATTCATGAAGCTCTGGGTTTGATTCCTTAGTACCTCATAAACAAAAAAAGGCTGAAGTGGTATTGTGACTCAGGTGATAGAGTGCTAGCCTTGAGCAAAATGAAGCTCAGGGTCAGTGCCCAGGCCCTGAGTTCAAGTCCCAGGATTGGCAAAAAAAAGACAAGGAATTATATAACTTAAAAGAGCATTGCAATTATCTAAGGGGTATCCATCTGAAAAGTGGAGACTTATTCCAAGTACAACTTTGAGTCCTGAGGAACTAACTTGGTTAATTGTGATGCTGACCGAACGAGTCGCATTAATGTAAACAGTTGCTTCAATGATCACTTCTCAAGGTGTTCCTGCCATTGCTCACTTGGGTCTACAAAGACTGAGGACATCAGGGATGAATAGTCAAGGTTCTGGTGACAAAATTGCTCGCTTGTTATTCCCGGTCTAATATTGACAGTGATTTCATATATTTTTGGCAGTTTGGGGCTTGACTTCAAGCCTTCACATTTGTGTGGCTTCCTTGCAGGCCTGCTGCTCTACTAGCTGAATGAAGCCTCCATTCATGCTTTGTATTGATTAATTGGAAATGGTGTCTGCACAGCTTTTCTGACTGGGTTGGCTTTCAACCATGATCCTTCGATCATAACCCCTAAAGTAGATAGGTTTAAAGGGTGAGTCACCATGCTTGGCTTCAAACTTAATCTTCAGTGATGTGGGG